AACTAAAAAGGCACATAGTAATTTCAATTCTCCATTCTTCATTTCCCGGCTGACTTGTCTGGTATTTTCCATCATGCTCCGTGCACCTTCTTTCTCCTAGTTTCCCTGCTTTTATGCTTCCTTTTGTAGGCTGGCTTCTTTCATTAGATGGTAAACTCCTCGATGGCAGGGATTATCTTGTGCCTTTCTTTGTTTTCCCAGCATTTAGCACAGTACCTGGCTTAATAAAAGTTTATTAAATGATTAATCAACTATCACGTACAAGGCACTGCATCCCTGATATCCTGGGCTGAGCCTGACTCATGCTAGTTCCATAGTACTTGAAGTCCAATATTCAAATAAAAGGAAGCACTCAGATGTTATTGGACAATTAATAATTATAATAGCCATAGTAGAGAAAGGATATTCAACAAAGATATGAATTGAGGAGACCACAAGTTGATTCAGCTGAGCAAAGAAACTCTGCCTCTGAGTTGCCCATGGTGGTGCTCCAGCCAAGTATCCAAGAGCATCTGGATATCCTCATGCCTGTTTTGTACTTTAGCATTTAGAAAGTGATGTCAACAGCTGGAGTCTTTACTCCCATGAGCTAATTCAGTCTAAAAAATGGTTTCAATACCTTTTAAGGGAAAAACAGCATAATTTACATAAGAGCAGGAGAGTTTGGATATTACTCCCACAATACCTGGAGATATAAAGTGGTGAGGTTTTTAAATTATGTATTCCCCGACCCCAAGGAGCCTATATTCTACTAAGGGTGGGTGGACATGATACTTACTTATACAAGTAATTTTAATATAGAGTATTATACTCGAGAAGCAACATGACATAGTAGATAAGACACTGGACTTTGAGTGGGGAAGACGTGGTTTCAAGTCCTACCTTAGGCACTTATCAGCCATGTTCAGTAATATCTGACTTTTTGTGACTTCACAGCCCATACTATCCATGGGGTTTTCTTGACAAAGATACTGAAGTGGTTTACCATTTCCTTCTCCAGTGGATTAAGGCAAACAGAGTGACATGTACAGGGTCATACAGCTACTAAGTGTCTGAGGTCAGATTTGAATTCAGGTCTTCCTGACTTCAGGCTCTGAGCTCTATCCACTGAGCCACCTAGCTGCACTCTAGTCATTCACTGATTCACAAATTCAGTGCCATCTTCTCCTCTCTCACTCACTCACTCACTCTACATATCTGATCAGCTGGCAAATCTTATGCTATCTCTACCTTACCTTTCACGGGAGTCTCCTTTATTCTTAGTATTCCTCCTCTCAACTCACACAGCCAGCACCCTAGGTCAAAACTTTTATCACTTCTTAATTGGCTAGAGCACTGGGCCTGGAGTCAGGAAGACTCATCTTCATGAGTTCAAATCTGGCCTCAGATACTTACTAGCTATGTGTCCCTGGGCAAGTCACTTAACCCTGTTTGCCTCAGTTTCCTTATCTGTAAAATGAGCTGGAGAAGGAAAGGCCAAATCACTTCAGTATCTCTGCCAAGAAAACCCCAAATGGGATCACAAAGAATGTAACATGACTCAAAATGTCTGACCAACAATTGGATTATTGGGATAGCCTGTTTGGTCTCCTTGCCTTAAGCTTTTCCCCACTTCAATCCATGTTTCACAGAGTCATCAAAGTTATTTTCCTAAAACGCTAGGGAGTTCATATCCCTCATTCCACCCTTGCTGAACAAATTCCAATGGCTCCCTATCACTTGTAGGATCAAATGGAAACTCCTGGGTTTGATATTTGAACCTGTTCACAACCTGGCCCCTTCCTATTTTTCCAGTCTTCTTACATTTTACTTCCCTCCTCGAGAGATCCAGTCATCCTGACCAACTCACTGTTCCATGCACAGAATACTCCATCTCTGCTCTCTCTGCTTTTTCATGGGCTGTCTCCCATGCCTGTTTTATAGCCTCTGATCATTTCTTACCATTCTCTATCATGTCTAACTCCTGGTTTCAAGACTCAGCCAAAGCACCACCTTCTACACGAAACATTTTCTGGTCCTCTCAGTTGCTAGTGCACCGCCTCCCAAAACTACTTTGTATACATATAGTCTGCATGTTGTTTCCTCCATTTAAATGTAAGCTCTTTGAAGGCAGAGACTTCGCTTTTATCTTTGGATCCCCAAAACTTGGCACAGTGCCTGGCACATGGTAGATACATAATAAATGCTTATTGACTGAATGTAAGTCAGCAGTGTGCTGTGGCAACCGAGAAAAGCTAATTCAACCTTGGGCTGCAGTAAGAAATGTTGCTTCCAAGAATAGGGAAGTGATGGTCTCACTGTACTCTGCCCTTGTCAGACTTTATCTGGAGCATCATGTTCAGTCCTGAGTGTTGCAGAGAAATGTTGCTTCCAAGAATAGGGAAGTGATGGTCTCACTGTACTCTGCCCTTGTCAGACTTTATCTGGAGCATCATGTTCAGTCCTGAGTGTTGCAGTTAGAGAGATATTGATAAACCAGAGAGTGTTCCAAAGAGAGTGACCAGGATGATGAAAGGTCTTAAGTCAATGTCACATGAGGATTAGTTGAAGAAACTGGGTACATTTAACCTGGAGAAGATCCGAGGCAGAATACAAGAGCTGTCAAATGAAGGAGGAATTGGAACTTTTTCTCTGGCCCCAAAGGGCAGAACTAGAGACAACAGGCAGAAGTCACAAAAAGGAAAATTTAGGTTTGATGTTAGGAAAAACTTCCTAAGAATTACAGCGGTCCAAAAACACTGAATGTCCCAGGCTGCCCCAAGAAGTGGTGGATTTCCCCCTCTTTATAGCTCTGCAAGCAAAGGCCTACTTGTTAGTGGAGATTTCTTTCCCTAGACCAAAATTCTATGATTCTATGAGTGAACCAGAGATGTGGAATAGTAAGGGCCCAGTTGAGGTTGGTAACATGACTTTGGAGCCAACTGTCTGCATGATTTTATGACTTTTATCAGCAATTTAGGAGTAGAAGTATGACCCAGGATTGAAGAAAGATGTTTCACATTCCATCTGACCACCCCCACCCACCATCTCCTTGCCATCCGCCTTTCAGCCTTACTTACCACAACTCTCTCCCAGATCAATTTCTACCTCGTACTTTAGGAACAATAATCAAACGAAGACTACGGTGGCTTCTTGAAAGGGAGCGACAACAGATCAAAGGACCCCAAGTTTTCACTCACCAAACCAAAACACACCTTCCTAGCCAACTACTCTCTTAAATGGGTTGTCTTCCTCAACCAGAACGTAAGCTTCTGGAAGCCAAGGATTGCCTTGCTTTGGTATTGGTATTCAAGTGCTTAATAAATACTTTTCATTGACAAGTTTTTCCAGATTAGGTACTCAGGTTTTGGAAGACTGTTGTTGTAGTTGTTGGTAATGACTTTGTTTTTGTCCTTATTTGTTGTTATTAACTCTGAAGTGAGACAATTGTGAAGGGAAGGAAATAAGGCTAGAAAAAGGACAGTTACTGGGAGATAAAGGAAGGACTGAGGAACTAGAGTTTGCAGTGAGGACAAAGACTGGGTCTATTTAGGAACATGGGATTATAAGCAGAACATGGGGATTTCAGAATTTATTTCAGAGATGTAACAGTTCTGGGTGATGATGAGATCTAAAGTGTGACCACTGCAGCGCTGGCAAAGGGTCCCCTTTAATCTCTTTCTGACCAGTTATCTGCCCCCATCGCTGGGCAGAGAGAGCTGCTGCTTCTGAGGCCCAAGCTGGTGTTCCTTCTATACTCTGGGCCCGTGGTATTATAGACCTCTCTGAAGTTGCAGCTCCTAAATTATCTTAGGCTGGAAAAAGGTCCTGTTGGCTCTGCTGCTCCAAAATTTGGCTTGAGATATTATTTTAAAGTTGTTTGGAGGGGAATGTTAGGAGTTCAGCTGGACCTCAGCCTGTACTCTGCCATCTTGGCTCTGCCTCCTTTTGACAGAAGTTAGGGATTTTAAGAAGGGGAAGTGAGGATGGTGGAGGTATACAAGGACTCTAATAAGGGAGATGGTATGTTTTATAAGAGAATGGGGCTGGTAGGCCAGAGATAGCGTACAAAGACTAGAAAGGAAGTGGCAGTAAGATTGAAGAAGCCTTCAGATGACAAGGTGAGTATTTTGTTTTTGATCCACAAGGTCAGATGTGTATTTTAGCAATGACAATTTAGCAGTCATATGGAGAAGGAATGATGGAGAGGGGAAAGACTGGAAGCAAGGATATCAATTAAAGGGCTTAATACATTAGTGGAGACTCTATAGAGGTGATGAAAGGCCTGAACCAGGATAGTAGAGAAAAGGGACCTTATTTTTTATCCCCAACTGCATAATACACCTGAGTTTTCTTGGCAAAGACCTTAGAGTGATTTGCCATTTCCTTCTCTAGCTCATTTTACAGATGAGGAAACTGAGGAAACAGGGTTAAGTGACTTGCCCAGGGTCACAGTAAGTATCTATGAGGCCAGATCTGAATGAAGACGAATCTTCCTGATTCTGAGACCAGTGCTCTATCAAATGCTAACTGGCTGCCCCACCTTAATCTTATCTCTAATTTAATGCTGTATTTAAATCCTAAATCTAACCCAATCCTAATCTTAACCCAGTGAAAAGATTATTGGATTTGAAGTTGGAGAGCCTGGGTTCAAATGCTGCCTCTGACACTCAGGCAGGCCAATTAGCCTCTCTACCTCAATTTATTCTTCTATAGAATAAGAGGGTTGAAACAGATGACTCCTAAGATATCTTACAGCTCTTAAGCCTGTGACTCTAGGACTGGAAATGATTTTCCATGTCCTCCTAAAAGTCTCTCCTTATCCATCCTTCATCTTTAGTTCCACTGTCATCCTATTACTCCCTTGTATTCTTTATCCTCCTTCCACACTAAGATGATAGCAACGGCCTCCAAGAGAGTCTCTCACATTTACTAAACCAGACCCGGATCTAGGAGCCCATGACAAGGCTGGCAACAGCAGGTACAACTAACTGATTCACGACTCCCCCCTACACACACACCTTCCAGCACACGCTTGCTGCTGCTTAGACGGTAAGAACAATCCCCTTGCTCTACCTAGAGACCAAGCTTGCCTCGAGATTCCCACCCTCTGGTCCCCACGGCCCTAAGGAAAAATGTATCCCTCGCCTGCACCGGGACTAAGGAGGCAGGGGGATAGCAGGTGTTACAATAATCACGAACTCTCTTTGCCTTCCTTCCCTGCCACTCCGCACTGCCCCCTTTCCCTCTCTCAGCTGGCCTTGTTTCCTCCTGCCTCGTCCGTTCCACCCCCCAGTGCCCCTCGTTTTCCCCTCCCCCATTATACCCATTAACCCCAAACCCAGAGACAGAACACCCCACCCCCTAGCCCACGACCCCCACGAGAGGTCGGGGGTGGGGGCCGGGCGAGTCCAAGCGGAGCGAACACAAGGTGGAGGGCGCGCGCTTGGGTCTGCGTGTTGGAGCTGCCCAGGCTAGCGCATGTGAAGTGTCCATATCCCAGGGCCAGGCGGCTGGAGTAAACGGACAGTCCCGCATCCACGCTCGGCGGAGCTCCCGCAGCGTGCCCATCCGGGATCCTTCCAGGCCGCCCAGCTCGACCATCCCCGCGTCCCCCCGCCCCGCGGCAGTGGTAGCGCCCGAACGCTCCGCGTCACCCATTGTTTACAAATCGAACTGAACCGGCTGAGCTCCAGCTCCCGGAGCTGCGGCGGCGGCGGCAGCGCGCTCGGTGGCCCCGCACGCGGCCGGCTCGGTCCGAGACCGCGACGCCTTGTCTTCAGAAGCTGTCTCCGGAGCCCGGCCGGGAGCGAGGAGCGGCCCGAGAAGCGGCGGCGGCGGCGGAGCTCCGGAGTCCGGGCTGCGAACCGAGACCATGCCGTGCCGGAGGGAGGAGGAGGACGAGGACGACGAGGCGGCGGCGGCTGGAGAGGAGGAGGAGGACGCCGAGGGGGAGGGGGAGGAAGAAGAGAGCTTCCTCCTGCTGCAGCAGTCGGTGACTGTCGGGGGCTCGGGGGACGTGGACCGGCTGGTGGCCCAGATCGGGGAGGCGCTGCAGCTGGACGCGGCGCGCGGGAGCCGGCCCGCCCCTCGGGGGCCCCTGACGTTCAAGCAGCAGTCGCCGCCGCCGCTGCGACCCCCGGTGCTGCAGCTGCTGCTGCCTCCGGGGCCGGCTCCGGCGGCCCTGCAGCCCTCGGGACCGCTGCAGTGCGCGGGGAACGGGACCCGCGCTGCCCTGTCGTGGGCGAGCGACGTGGGCGCCACCTCGCAGCCTCCGCCGCGGGCGCCGTCGGGTCCCTGCGCCCCAGAGGGGGCCCCGGCCCGGAGCAGCGCCTGCGGTCCGCACTTCTGCAAGCGGGGCTTCCCGCAGCCGCTGCCTGGCCCGTGCCGGCGCGCCTGGCTTCGGGGCGCCGCCGCCTCCCGGCGCCTGCAGCAGCAGCAGCACCAGCACCATCGGTACCGGTACCGAGGGCAGCCGGGACTCCGGGCCGGAGAGGATGACCCCCACCAGTTTCTGCAGCAGCTTGTCCTCTCGGGGAACCTCATCAAAGAGGCCGTGCGACGACTTCATTCCCGGCGCCCCAGGCAGCCTTTTCGAGCTAGGGCGCCTTTGCCCCCAGCACAGGTCCGCCCTCTGCCTTTACCCCTGGCTGTTCAGGAGTCGGAGGCAGAAGGGACTCTTGCTCTCTGCAGTCCTCGTCGACCAGCTTGCTCTAACCCGGAGAGCCTCCGGGGCCAGCCAGTTTACAGACTTGGAGATGGCATCTTGGTCCCAAGCAGCTAGTGAGTCCATCAGGTTCAGGGGCAAGAAGAGGGGAGGCTGAGAACCGAAAGCCCCAGCTCCAGAGACTGACATAAATGAACTTGAAATGGGGAACAGGGGTTCGAAGGCAAGGAGGAAAGACGGGGGTACCTTTTTCGAGGTTATGGGATGGGGAAGGGTGATGTGGAACAGAACTATAGGCCGTGGATCTGGGTGGTTTGTGGGGGATTGCCTGGCAAAGGCCTCTTCGGGCTGAAAATTAGACCCCCTCGGTCTAGTCTAATTAGGATGAATATATCCTATTTATAGACAGACTACACTACTGACCCAAGAGCATCAGTAGAAGATACTCTTTAATTTGTAATTAGTGGTGCTGACTTGCACTGAGCCATCCACAGCACATTAGCCTTGTTGCCATGTGACCAACAGCTCACCGTTTTAGACTCCTCAACTGGCCACCTCTGTGGGTGCCTCTGGAACAGAGTTGTTGTTTTCTCCTGTGTGCAATATTAACTGGCCTTTTAATAGGAGTTACATCTTCCGTCCTGGCCTCATCAGCACAGGTTCTATCCTACTGAGCTAACCATTAGGGGTGAACTCAGAATGGAGAATTATTCCAGTTACCTGCTTTGACTTGACCCAGTTTGTTTTCACTACTGGTAGTTTCTCTTTGACTGTTTTTTTTGTTTTTGTTTTTGTTTTTTGAGGTTTTTTGGAGGGAGGGGGTAGAGTGGGAATGGGGAGAAGGATTTGACAGTAGCAAGAAGAAACAAGGTGACTTAACCTGACCTGAAAACTTGGTAGCATTTTCCAAACTAGATTTGGTTCTTCTGAGTTCTGGGTTCTTACTGCTTGAACACAAATCAACTTCAGTAAATGTGAGAAGAAAGAAAATGAGTAAAGCCTGGGTGGAGTGGCTTTAAGCAGATTGCCTGCCAACCTCCTCTTTCTGCCCTTGCATTTCAACAGCCTGATGTTTCTAAGACTAAATGGAGAATATTCACACCAGGTCATGGTACGGAATGAGAAGGGGAAGGATTTGTTTGTGGGGAAGGAAGAATTCTCAACTCCACACACGGTGCTGTGGCTCTCTGGGCAAGGGAGTGACTGTATATTCTGCACCTCCTCCAAGGGAGCCTTGTGTTTTCAAACTGCTGAGAGTCTCCTGAGGACATGCACCTTGTGCTTGTATCTACTAGTTGGGAGTAGGGAGCTACTACTGTGCATGTGTGTGTACACGTGTGTGCACATGTCCACCGGCTTGTGTGTTGACACTGCTCCCGATTTTACTGCTCCTGCCTTTTTTGGCTAGGGATCAAGATGCCTTAGTTCCTGTCGTAATACTGCAGTTCACTAAGGTTTCCCTTCTTTCCAGGCCATTCTTCCTTTCTTGTTTATACTTTCAGGGTGTTTTTTAGGGGTCTCAGCATCAAAGAAAAGAGGCCCAGTTGAATGTATTTGTCTTTGAGGCTATTTTGTGCCATCTCCTTCAGCTCCCCTGAATGAAGGGGGTTTGTTTCCTCCTCTCTCCGTCCCATCCCTCACTTTTTTTTAGTGAATTCAATATTCTGAAAATGTGACCCTCTGTGTAGAAAACTGCAAACATCTTCCTTTAAGGTGGCTCAAATGTTTGGTTTTTGTTCTTTGAAGTTTCAGTGGCTTGGTCATCATTTAGATGTGGCTATTGATGTATGTGGATACACATACACTCCTCACACACATACACTTCGCAGCGGAGTGTCTGAAATTGTGATGGTCCTGATTTATAGGATTCTATCTTTACTGAAGTATCTATGTTAAATAAAGTTGTTTTTTTGTTTTCTGTTTTTATTTGTGCAAAAGGAAGCCTAACCAGCGGATTTCCATGGGGATGAAAACGCGTCAGCATGGATTACGTATGACGGTTAGCTTGTGTTCCTCAGCGTTCTGCCCTCCCGTAAAAGGGTGGGACAAATGCATCCTGTAAATGCTTTTAGAGCTAGCTCAAAATTAATTAAGATCAAATCCTAGAAATCCCCACCCCCATCCATCAAAAACAGGCAGTAATAAGGGAGTGAAATGTCATTCAAATCTGCCTCAACCAAGCAAATTAAGCACACTAGTAATAGTGTGGAGACTCAGAGTTTGTTCTCCAAAGCATTTGGAGGTGGGTGGTGAGGGTTATGTTGTAAGCTTTCCTTTCCTCCCACCTTTCTGGTTATTAACATCTTCCAACACATCTCATTCCAACCATTAATCTAGGACAGATCTGGCTTGTGTGGTTGTGTGGGTGCCAGGCTTGGATTGAGTAAGCCATTTTGAAGTACCTGTTAAAGGACACATTAATCTCTATTCTCATATTCTTGGCCAAAAAAAAACATGGCAGGGCTATTCTGTAAAGCATATGGGGTCTGTTCTGAAGCAGCCTGTGCCCATTAGAAGTAGGCACCTTTAGAGAGGCATCTGCTGAACTTTTGGCTGCCCGGTGTGGGCAGCAGGAAACAGTCCAAACACCACCAAATTTAAAGAACAGTATTTTGATCTAAAGGTAAACAAGAGAACAAGGTCTTGATTTCTTAGTATTCCCCACACCCTTGCTGTGAATGTTCAACTAGGTCTGGCTAGGGGTGCCCCACCCTACCCACCGCTGCCTATGTGCTGTGCCAGGAGCAGTGCCTCGGAGACGTTGATCCCATTCCCTGTGTCCCTACATCATGGTGAGAATGATCCCAAAGGCAATAAGCTTTGGTTTGAACACTGAAGATATGATCAAGCGTTTCTGCCAAGTCCTTGCTATTGGCTAATTTTGCTCACGTGATAAAGTTTCCATACGTCCTCCCAACACACTGTCCTGATCATTCTTGGAACATCCTTCAGCTTGCCAATGTCCAACCTGAAATACAGTGCCCAGAATGGATTTCAGTGTTTCGAATGCTGAGTGACCACTGACCAAAAAAAAAATGCAGAGGGTCTACACTAATAACAAGATTCCCAAATCGTTCCCATTTATTTCCAGACGGTGATAGGACTCTGACATTTGTCCTGTCCTGTAGACAATGAGGGCCTTCTAGGTGCAAGCATTGTACAAGGTGATAAGGGCACAGACATGTTGGTCTGTGCATTCGAGAGTCGCAGAACACCACACAAGCAGGTGATGTGGGAGAATGTGATGTGTGATGAAGTTTAAAAAAATGTGGGGAAAGGGCGTTTAAGGGAGAGGGAAATTTTATGCTAAAGACTTTCCTACTAAAACAGAAGAAAATACCTGAATTGGGCCCGTAAGGGAGAGACTTCAACACAGAGAAGAGTCCTTAACAAGAGGATATGGAAGTATGAGGCTGAACAAGAACAGAAGAGTTCAGGGGAGCCAAAACAGAAGCACCCGAGGGAATAGTATGGAAGAAGGTTGGAACCATTCGTGGAGGGCCTTGTGTGTCAAGGTAGTACAATGGAAAGAGCTCAGGGCTTGGAATTGAAAGTCCTGGGTTTTGACTACCAGGTACTATTTATTGGCCTTGTGATTTGGGACAAGTCAATCCACAAGCCTTAGTCTTTTGATTTTTTTTTAAATCAAGTTTATATTAAGCCCAATGAGAAGGTAGGGAATATTTACAAGGCATGACATCATTAATAGTGCAATAGGGAGATCATGAGAGTGAATATATGAAAGATGGGTGGGATAGATTCAATTCAATAATTGACCAAGTGCCAGGCAATATACTGGGTGATGGGGGTAGGAAGGCAAAATAGAACTCTCCCAGCAGTCCAGAAGCTTAGGTATTTGGAAAGCCAAGGGGGGGGGGTTGTTTGTTTTAATTATGCCAGGCCTGTGATGTCATTGATGTAGGGAGCCACTGGTAAGGAAGCTTTCTTTTCCAAAGTAGACTGGGATGCACCTGCTCAGCAATTTAAGCACTTCCCACGTTTGCATGATGGTGCTGAAAGGTTTGGGTCAGAGCTTTGTAGGTTGAGAGCTAGAAAGGACCTTGGTCTAACCACTTCATTTTATAGATGTGGTAGTGAGGCCCCTAGTACTTAAGTGATTTGTCCAGGTTCCTAGAGAATCAGAGGCAGGATCTGAAACCAGGTCTTCCCAATTGCAAGACTCAACTGCCCAGTATACACAAGGGAAATACAAAGCAATTGGAGGTGGACTAGTAGTTGGGGTCTTCAAGACAGGCCTCATATAGGAGGTAGCCCTTGAGCTGAACTTCAAAAGGAGCTGTAGATGCCAAGAGGCAGAGGTGAGGACAGAGGGCTTCTAGGTATGGGGGGGGGGCAACCTGTACAAAGGCACAGCAATGGAGGGGCAGGTGGGAGCGGAGTGTTGTATATGAGGAACAGTGAGTGGCCTGGTTTTTTTTTTTTATCATATCAATTTCATAGAAGAACTAGGGACGTTTATCCTGGAGAAGATGAAACGGTTTTATGGGCTGTGGAATGGGACTTTTTAGCCCCTAAAAGCAATGGCCAGATGTTGCAAAAAGGTGAGTTTAGGCTTAATGTAAGGAAGAAATTCTCAAGGGGTTAAGAGAAGAGAGAAGAGGTAGAAGGGAGGGCAGATTAGGGGAAGGGGTATTCAGAATGCATGCCATCTTGGGGTGGGGGGAGGGATGAGATGGGGAGAAAATTTGGAGCTCAAGGAAGAAATTCTTAAGGATTATCTAAAAGGGGGATGGGCTTTTTAGGAAGGGGTTATGGTCCCTCTCACTGGACGTCTTTCAGCAAAGGCTGGATGACCAGCTGTCAGCTAGGTCATAGAAAGGACCCTTGTTTATGTATAATTTGGGCTCTGAGGTCCTTTCCAAAACTGAAATTCTGAGCACAGGCCCTCAGCAGTGGGGAGCCTCAAGAAGAATTTCAGGCAATAAGAGAGAGCATAGAAGGAAGATCATCATGAAGATTTCGTCCTGGGAGAAGTTTGTGGAGGAGCCTCACGTCATGCTAGGGCATCAGGAAACATGTAGCAGAAGATTCTTGGAAACAACCATTACAAGGCTGTCTCTGACATAATTTTGCTTTAACCAATTCAGGTTGCAGTTAGAATAACACCTAGCATTTAGAAAGATGTGCAAAGCTATTTACATAACATTATCTCAAATGATCCTGATGACAAATCTGTGAGATAGATATTTCAGGTATCCATTTTATGAATGAGGAAAATGTGATTGAGAGATATTAGGTTAGCTAGTGAGCATCAGAGTAGATCTTACCTGACTGCCTCCATCCCTCTTTCCACCTTGCTGGGCTGTCCTTACAGCGATTTTGACAATGTATTATCACCAACCCATAATGCTCTGCATGTCAAATGGAGCTGCGCATGAAATCCTAGGGAGAACCTCTCCTCCCTCTGATTGGGTAAGAGCCACAAGTCTGGACAGTCAGAAAATCTTAGACTTTCAGAATATAGAGCTGGAAAGAATCATCTGGTTTACAGATATCAAACCCACAGGGCTGGTATGTGTGGCTAGAACCAGATTAAAATGTAATTGGGAAATATTTAACAAAATAAATAAAATTACAACAGGATGTAGGTAATGTTAATAGTTGGCTTTCTAAGCCAATATGCAGCCCATAGGAACCATGTGGTTTAGTGGGTTTCTGTTTCACTTTGACATCACTGATCTAGTTCAGCCCCATCATTTCACAGGTGAAGAAACTAAGATCCCCACCCCTCTCCATATGCACACCAGTAATGACATACTGAAAGTAGTGAGGGTAGTAAATAAAATAGGAAGAATTTTACTTCAAAGTACAGAATAGATATAAAGTCATTTTGGAGGTAAAGCATTAAGAAAGGGAGTTAGATGGGTTGGAGAGTCAGGAAAGACCTTTTTGGGGAGCTGGAATTTGAATTGTCTTGAAATGAAATAGGGATTCCAAGAGGCAGAAGTGAGAACAGAGAGGACTTTTTAAAAATATATATTTTATTGGTACCTTTTTTTTCATCACCTAGATTTTCCTCTGTATCCCTGCTGTCCCCCTTCCAGAGAGTCATCCCTTATATCAAAGAGTTTAACCAAAAAAAGAGAGAGAGAAAATCTGCAAAATCAATTGATACATTGAAAAAAAATCTGGCAGTGTTCCATGTTCACGTGTCCTTCACCTCTTCAAAGGAGTGGTGGGAGGTGTCTTGATATCTCTTCTTCAGGCGAAGCTTATTCTTTATAATTTTGTAACATTCATTTTTTGTTTGTTTTGTGGTCGTTCTTTACACTTACATTGTCTTAGTCATGTATATTTTTTTGACTTTGCTTATTCATTCTGCATCAGTTCAAGCCCATCTTTCCATGCTTCTTGGTTTTGATCACATTAGGTATGTCTTACAACACAGTAATATTCTATTGCATTCATGTACCACAGTATGTTTAGCCAATTCCCCAATTGATTGACGTTGTTCCCAGTTCTTTGCTACCAGAAAAAGTGCTGCTATAAGTACTTTGGTGTAGATGGATAGGATTTTTTTTTTGGCCAATCACCTCCTTGGGGATGGAAAGTATTTCAGATTTAGAGAACGGGCTTGCAAAGACATGGAAATTGGAGGTGGAATGTGACAGAGAATAGAAAGTACATCTGTTTGGTTGGGATAGAAATTACAGAAGAGAGAGTAATGTAAAATCAAAGCTTAGAAGGAGCAAATGACCTTGTAAGGTCCCTTCCAGCTCTTCACTCATGATTCCTATTTTACAGATGAGGAAACTGAAGCTCAGCAAAATTATGCTTTGTCCAAAGTGGCATAGAACTGGTTTTCAAATCCATTTCTACTGACTCCAACTCCAATGCTTCTTCATGGCCCCTGACATCAAGGAGTTTATATCCTACTGGAAATTCTTACATTCCCTACTTA